GAAAACTCGACTTGTGACTGCACCGGTTCTTACCCTACCAGGTACGGATGGTTTTACCATTTTTAGTGATGCTTCTCATAAGGGTTTGGGATGTGTTTTAATGAAAAATAGGAGAGTTATTGCCTATGCTTCCCGACAACTGAGACTGCATGAAAAAAACTACCTGACCCATGATCTAGAACTTGCTGCAATAGTATTTGCATTCAAAATCTAGCGTCACTACCTTTATGGGGCTACATGTGAAGTATATACTGACCACAAGAGTTTAAAATATTTCTTCACACAGAAAGAACTGAACATGAGACAGCGGAGATGGCTAGAATTGATTAAAGACTATGACCTACAGATTTTGTACCATCTCGGGAAAGCCAACACCGTTACCAATGCATTGAGTTGGAAATCGATTGGGAACTTAGCCTGTTTACTCACTGGACAGAAAGAGTTGCTTTGTGACCTTGAGAAATCCGAAATTGAGATTGTTTTGCGAGAACAAGGCGGAACAATAGCTGCTATTTCTGCTCAACCGGCACTGATTGAAGAGATTAAAGAGAGGCAACAACAGGATGACTTCTTGAAGAAGATCATTGATGAACTAGAATCCAAACCGAGGCCGGATTTCAAATTTGAGAATAATGTACTGAAATTTCAGGGAAGATTATGTGTACCGAATGACTCTGAACTGAAAAGAAGAATTCTACAAGAAAGCCATAATTCGAAACTGTCGATCCACCCAGGAAATACAAAAATGTATCAAGACTTGAAACTGAATTCTGGTGGCCGGGAATAAAGAAAGAAATTGCTGATTTTGTATCGAATGGTCTTCATTGCCAACAAGTCAAAGCCGAACATCAACGACCCACAGGTTTACTGCAGCCCTTACCTATACCGGAGTGGAAATGGGAACATATCACTATGGATTTCAGTGTTGGTTTACCTCGCTCCAGTAAAGGTATGGACTCAATTTGGGTTATAGTTGATAGACTGACTAAATCTGCTCACTTCTTACCTGTCAAAACAATCTATAATGCGGACAAATTGGCTATACTCTATATTGATGAGATTGTTAGATTGCATGGAGTGCCTGTGTCCATTGTTTCTGATAGGGACTCGAAGTTTACATCGAGATTCTGGCAAAGCTTACAGACTGCATTGGGTACTGAACTGAGGCTGAGTAGTGCATATCATTCTCAGACAGATGGCCAGTCAGAAAGGATCATCCAGACTCTGGAGGATTTACTGCGGATGTGTGTTCTTGATTTCCAGGGAAATTGGGAAAATCATTTACCGTTAGCTGAATTTGCCTACAACAACAACTTCCATTCAAGTATTGGTATGGCGCCTTTCGAGGCATTGTATGGCAGAAAATGTAGATCTCCGATCTGCTGGGCAGAAGTTGGAGATGGGCCATTGCTTGAGCCCGAGATTGTGTATGAAACTACAAAAAAAGTAAAACTGATCCAACAGAGACTGAAAACCACACAGAGCCGACAGAAAAGTTATGCGGATGTCAGCAGGCGAGATAGAGAGTATGAAATAGGTGATCACGTTTTTGTGAAAGTGACACCGATGAAAGGCCAGACTCGTTTTGGGAGTCAAAGGCAAGCTAGCACCGAGATATGTTGGACCACATGAAATTATTGAGAAAATCAATCCGGTGGCGTATCAAGTAGCACTTCCTCCTGAAAATGGAGCATATGCATAACGTCTTCCACATTTCTATGTTAAGGAATTACCTCCGAGATCCTTTTCATGTGATAGAGCCTACTCGTGTAGTGTTGAGTGATGACTACACTTACGAGAAACGACCTGTTCAGATTGTAAACAGACGGATCAAGAAGTTGAGAAACAAAGAGATCCCGTTAGTGAAAGTTGACTGGCAAAACCATGGTGGCGTGTATGTCACTTGGGAAAGGGAAGATGACATGGCCTAGAGATATCCTGAACTGTTCCCTCTGAATCCTGTTTTCTTCCAGAATTAAGGTAACTCGAGTTTGGAGGACTAAACTCTTTTTAAGGAGGGGAGACTGTAATAACCCTCACCACTGATTACCAGTTAACCACTGATTACTGCTAAACTGAGACTGATTGTGATAAGTCATTGAATCGACTAAAATACTGAACTGATTGATTAAATGTACTAGTTTAAATGCATTTCTATCTGTTTGACTACTAAATTATCTGTCAATGTTTTATGTTTAAATTGTGAATTGAAGGCCTTATCGGCGACCGAATCTAAAATCGATTGATGTTTTATGATCATTAGAATTTATGTGATTTTATGGCATATTTAATTAAAAAGTGATTTGGTATGGTTATATTAGACTAAATTAAGTTAAATTACATATGTTGGCTTTAATTACAACTTTACCATTTGAGTGGGCCACTACACCAAACTTTGTCTAAGACTTAGTCTTCCATTACACAACTCTTCCTCAGCCATTTTGAGAGCATAGCCGACTAGAGTGAGAGAGTGAGAGGAAAAAAATGTTTTCAACTTGAATTCATCAATTTTAGTTTGGAGATTTAAAGGAAGTGAAGAGAGATTGCATAATTGAGCCTTCTTGCCTTTGATTCAAGACTTAAGGTAGAGATTGTACCTTCTTGTTCATGTAATCAAGTTATATGTTGCATGGTTTATGGAAGTTTAGAGATTAAGGGCATGAATTAACTTTAAATTGTTGAATTGAAGTTCATTCCATGCATGCATGCTTATATCCTAGCATTTTGAGGTTGAATACATGGAATTTGGCACTTGCATGTTCATATTTTTGCATTGGACCATGAACTCATCTTGGTTTTGAAGGAATTGACTCATTTGAGCAAGTAATTGAAGCTTTGAATTGGTTTAAACTCATGCATGTCATGTTTGAGTTATGTTCTTAAGTTTTGGTTTGAAATTGGATTTATTTGAACTACCTTTGGGCTTTGATTTTTACAATTGAGCTTCGAATCATGTTAAACTATGAGTTTTGAAGTGTTTTCCAGGAAATGGGCCCAAAGGAATCGAATTTGATACATTTGAAGTTGAATTTGAGCTTGAGGTTCAAATCTGGGAATTCCAGATTTTGAACTCACGCTCGAGCGGGGTTACTGGCGCTCGAGCGTGGAAATCGTGCTCCCAGCATTTTGTTCTGTTTTTAAGTCAGCTCGAGCGGGGTAATTTACGCTCGAGCGGGACATTGTGTCTCACTCTCGAGCGGATGTCGAGCGTCCAATCGAGTGGAATTTTCATACATCCAGCACTTTTGACTGTTTTGCAGTACGCCCAAGCGGGTAATTCTACCCTCGAGCGGAAACCTTTGTCTGCATGTCCGCTCGAGCGGAGTAACCTACGCTCGAGCGGGACCCCTGTTTTCTGAAAATTCTGAAAATGCTTTTAAAGTGCATCTTTGCATCCTCATTTTATCCTAGGCATTCTTAGGCCTAGTTTAAGGCATCTTAATGAGGATATAGATGTAGAACCACACCGAGTCAAGATAGGGATTAAGTTATTATATTCCCAACTGTGAACTTAATGTGTGTTCACTCTGTAACTGTGTAGGGTTGGCATCTGAGGACGCGCTCTAACTTAACTGTAGCCTAAAACTCTGTGAGTAACAACTGTGTAAAGATATATTCAAATATGATTATCTTCTGAACAATTAAACTGCACTGTTTTCTGAAATGATACTGTTACTGAATGAATGACATCCTAATTGTGAACTGTATTGTAGCATCCTTAGCAACTACTGTTACTGTTACTGTTACTGCTACTGTTACAGAGATCTCTGTCGGTTCCCATGTTGGAACCACTACTGTTTACTGATATGATGGCCATCAACTGACTATTCGGTCTGATAAGACCTACTGTACTGTTTTGCTACTAGATGTACCACATATGACTGTTATGACTGAATGACTGATATACTGAATCAATTGACTGTTTTCAATACTAAAAGGACATTCATTCTTAACCTCTTTACGCGTTATGTTATTCACTGGGCTTTAGCTCACTGCTCATATATATATATATATATGTAGGTATACATGCACCAGACCGTTGCTAGAAGCGTCGGGGTAAACTCCAGTTTTGTCAAGCCAACCTGTGTGCCTCACTGCGAGGTTCCGAGCCTGCCAAGTTATGGCTTAGGGGTGTTTTAATTTCCCCCGTCTGTCTCTGTACCTATTTTTGTAATGTTGTATAGACTGATAACACTGTACTGTACTGTCTTAATAGGGATTAAGTCCCTGACCTGGATGATTGTAAATGTTGTACAAACTGTTTTGCACTGATTGTATATATGTATAAAAAGTCTTTTTGCATACAGACTGTCACAACTCATTGGACACTGTTTACTTACTGTTTTGGCTTCCGCCATGCCCCTGTACTCTGTATTACTGTATTACTGTGAAGCAGGCCTTCGGTAATCTCGGATTACTGGCCGGTTACGGTGCGAAACCCATAGGGCGGGTTTAGGTCGTGACAATTATCAACGGGCCGGGCCCGCCCTGGCAACAGGCGGGTTTCGGGCCGCCCACAGGCCGCAGGCGAATTTTACAGTCCTATCAATATGAATGTTAATATGTCGATGTGAATATTCACATTGTCACGGGCCGGACTAGGCTCGCCCCGGGCCGCCCATAGGCCGCAGGCTAATTTTACACTCCTATCAATGTGAATGTTAACATGTCAATGTGAATATTCACATTGTACATGGGCTGAGCCCCTACACATTGACGATATGAACATTCACATTGACGGTGTGAATATTCACATTAGGGGTATTTTAGTAATTATGTCACCCATAAGACTTATTGAAACATAAAAAAATAATATGAACTAAATAAAACATAAGCAGATGAAAATAATATTTTGATCCTCTTATTTCAAATAAAACTTAATAAAATAATCAAAAAAAAATATAAATTAAATAAAACATAAGTAATTAAAGATAAATTTATGAAAAAGCACCCATTTATAATTTATCCTATATACATTCCCCCTTTGCTTTGTTTTCTCCGCCGCACTGTCTTCATTTTTCCACCTTGCCTTTTTAATCTCTCTCTCTCTCTCTCTCTCTCTGTATTCGAAACTGTAATCCACATCTATCTATCTATCTATCGGAAGAAGCACAACACCACGAATATGTCTTCAGCTTTCTCTGCAACTAAAATCATCCAATCCCGACCTCTCAAATCCACCTCCAGATCTCCCGATAAACCTTTCTTTGATCCCCTCAAAACCAGCACCTCCTCCGCCTCCTCCTCCTCCTCTTTCCTCGGATCAACCCACAAACTCCGCCTTCATTCCAATTCAGCTGCTGCTCATACCCGCCGTCGATCCACCTCCGTGGTGGCCGTCTCCGATGTCGTCAAGGACAAGAAGCTGAAATCTAGCTCCCTTTCCAATCTGGTAAAAACAACAACAACACTCTTCTTCTTGTAATTTAATTTGAATTTGAATTTGACTTTGAATTTTCATTGCTAGCCAAGCTTATATGTATATATATATACGCACTAAATAATAACGTATGTGCTTTGGCAGCTTATTACAAAATCAGAAGGGTTGGAACTGTACGAGGACATGGTCCTTGGCAGATCGTTCGAAGATATGTGCGCCCAGATGTACTACAGAGGCAAAATGTTCGGATTCGTCCATCTCTACAACGGCCAAGAAGCTGTATCTACAGGATTCATCAAGCTTCTCAACAAGGAAGATTGTGTTGTGAGCACATATCGCGATCACGTTCACGCGTTGAGCAAAGGCGTTCCTGCTCGCTCCGTCATGAGCGAGCTCTTTGGCAAGGCCACTGGCTGTTGCAGAGGCCAGGGCGGCTCTATGCACATGTTCTCCAAACAACACAACCTTCTCGGTGGCTTTGCCTTCATTGGCGAAGGAATTCCCGTCGCTACCGGCGCTGCTTTCACTAGCAAGTACCGGAGGGAGGTCTTGAAGGAGGCCGATTGTGATCACGTCACTCTTGCTTTTTTTGGTGATGGGACTTGTAACAATGGCCAATTCTTTGAGTGTTTGAATATGGCTGCCTTGTGGAAGTTGCCAATTGTGTTTGTTGTGGAGAATAATTTGTGGGCAATTGGGATGTCTCATCTCAGGGCAACTTCCGATCCCCAAATTTGGAAGAAAGGCCCGGCATTTGGAATGCCCGGAGTTCATGTTGATGGAATGGATGTGTTGAAGGTCAGACAAGTGGCCAAGGAGGCCATTGCGCGGGCTAGGAGAGGGGAAGGGCCTACTTTGGTCGAATGTGAGACCTACAGGTTCAGAGGACACTCTTTGGCGGATCCTGATGAGCTTCGCGACCCCGGTCAGCACATTTCACTCCTTCTCACTTCTTTTGCATATCCATACTTCATTTCTAGTATTATTTTATCTTTTTATTTTTTTGGGTGCAATGTGATAGCTAAGATCTACTACTAAGATTAATAATGTTTGGTTCTCTGTGTCTTCTTAGGTTGCGTGTCTTGTTATTATTATTGCAGTGGATCTGTAATCAGTTTTAGAAACCCGTGTGGCTGTATAAACTTGTGCTTGGGGAAATCCACTGTTCTATGAAGTTGAATTGTTTGCGTTGGTTATGTAATTAACCAGTTTTGAATAGCTAGTTTAGCATTTCGCCTAAATTAACTTTATAATTTAGTGTATTTTAATCATAAATTATAATTTAGTGTATTTTAATCAACACATGTTAGCCTTGCATTTTGATGTGCAATACTCTTGCCATTCAAAGTAACTGCATTGCGTTTTTGGCTCCATAGAGCATGAGCTACTAATGTTCTAGCAAGACTCGATGAAATTGGGGAGTTCTAACCTATGTTACTGGAACTTGGATTGTTTCGGTATGTGGAACGAAAATAGGAATGTGGTACGCCGCATAGTTTAATATGTGGTTCGATAAGGATAGATTTGTATAGATTGCACTATAAGAATTTAAAATACTTCTGAAGTAATTTTCTCTGACAATTAGGCATCCAATAAAATGTAATTTTTTCTCCAAATTAATCATCTAGCAACACATTTTTATGAGCATTATGACTCATTTTTTACGTTTCTTGTCAAAACTTCACTCACCTTATGTTTTATTCACTATATATATATATATATTTGTTTTTTTTCCTCATAAGGAAACATTAAAGGAAATATATTGGAAAAAAAAAATTTTAAGATTGTTTCGGATCACTAAATTTATCAATTTGAAACAAAAGTGTACTATGTTTTGGTATGTGCATTCCAAAACATAATTCATTAGATATTACCTAAATCAACTTTAAAACTTGGTATATTTTAATCATAAACTTGGTTTTAAAACTATAGATACACATGTTAGCTTAGCATTCTCAAGGTGCAATACTCTTGCCATTCAAAGTAGGGGTGCACAAAATACCTAGATAACCCAAGAGCCAAACCAACTGACCTCTATGAGTTGGGTTGGGTTGGTTTTTTTAATATATTGGTTAGGTTCTAAGAAGTATGGACATGTGACACAACACAAACACGCAAATTTTCAAAAAATATATAACATGACACGTTGGGGACATATGCAAAACATATAATTTTATATATTTATTATGTATCATATTTTAAAATATTTAGTATGTATTTTATGTCAAATATTTAATTTTATCAAATTTATCAACTTTAAGTAAGCTATTTTAGTACAAAAACTTAAAAAAATTAAATTTTTTTTTTCTTGCTTCATAGGTTAGGTTATGGGTCTTAAAGTCATCAACCCGATAAGATTGAGTTGGTTGGTTCTCCGTTTAGGCAACCAAACCAACCCAAGACCCAAACCTATATATATTGCATAAACTTTTATTTAAGTCGGCATGTTTTCATGTAATTGGTTTGTTGCAAATACTAAGATAGACTTGAGTACACCTCGTCATTTCATACATTAGAGAAAAATTAGTGCTAAATTATCAAACTCATCTTTCATTTACTCCTTTGTTCACCAGAGTACTCATCTTTGATATATTTGGTTATAACTCATATATAACCAAGCTTAACTCATTTACTTTTAAGACAATATTTTGTTCTTGTTTATTTGTATTATATTAAAATGTTCAAGACTAGTTTATTCTAATTATTTATTGTTGAATGTTGGGCTAATTACATCAATCGTCCTCCTAGTTTTCGCAAAACTTCAGTTTGATCCTTATAGTTTGAATTTCGTCAATTTGGTCCTTGAACTTTCTGATTTATTCCAATTTGGTCCTTACAACTTTTCTAAGGTTTTGTTTATTATACTCTTCCCCCTTAAGTTTTCTTATGTTACAAATATTTTTTATTTTTTATTTTCTTTTCAAAATCTATAAATAGAATTACTAATTTATAACATTAACAATAGCTCTGTTTATTACTATATTTTTAAGCTGTTTGGTTTTAAAGTGGCTGTAAAATGCTAGCAATTCTATAGCTATAAGTTACTATGGACTGTCCAAAAGCAATAAATAAATAAATAAAATTTAATCTATTTAATTGATTTTCTAATTCATAAATATATGCTAAACTATTATTTATTTTAGCTCTTATTTCTGCGATTAAAAGCATAAAGAGGAGTGAAACAGACTTAAACTAACACACTAAGGCTTAATACATTAAACTACTAAATAGATAGGGCCTTATAATAATTAATCTTATAATAATTAATCAAACTTTTGGACTATGAGTTATTTATATTTTAGGCTTAGGGACTAAATTGATTTGTTCTTGAAAATTAAGGGACAAAATTGTCACAATTGAAACTATAGGGACTAACATGAAACAAGTGTCAAACTTGAGGGACTATGACTGTTTTTTACCCTTGAATGTTCAAGACTTGATTATTCTAACCATTTATTGTTAATTGATTCACTTATTTTTAATATAGTGGGCCCGCAGTTCCAACCCAAACCAACTTGAGCTACATTGGGTCGGGTTGGTTCTTGTGCATAATTGGTTTGATCCTGAGTCCAAAATCTTGAAACCAATAATGATTGGGTTGGATCTACATTTAGTTCTAACATGAACCAAACCGACTCATGCGATCCCCTAATTCAAAGTAAGAGCATTGTGTTTCTGGTTCCTTATGCAGGAATGGGGTAGGAATCATAATTGTCAAGAGTCTTGTGGAGAATATAGTGGCAGTCATTAGGAAAGGGGATATGATTATGTTAGTTAAACTAGTTATTGGAGGGAGTAGTGAACGTTATTAGTGCATACGCCCCTCAAGTAGGATTAGATGACTAGACTAAAAGTATTTTTGGGAGCAAATGGATGGGATCTTACAAGAGATACCCGTAGTAGAGAACCTGGTTATAGGTGGAGATTTTAATGGCCATGTAGGCATAGATAAACTAGGCTATGAAATGGTACATGGTGGATACAGTTTTGGTCACAGAAATGAGGCTGGAGAGAGTATCTTAGATTTGTGTTGACTTCTAACCTGGTGGTGGCCAATACTATATATAAGAAGAGGGAGGAGCATTTGATAATCTTTAAGAGTGGGTCAGTTAAGAACCAAATAGATTACTTCTTGGTGAGAAAAATGGACCGCCTAAAATGCAATGATTGTAAGGTGATTCCTGGAGAGAGTCTGGCCTCTCAACATAGGATTTTGATACTAGATTTATGTTTTAAAGGGCAACACCAAGCTAGGAAGGATGGTGGGCATCGTAGGACGAGATGGTAGGACCTTAAAGGAGATAAATTATAAATATTTAAGAATAAAATGGATAAGAAAGGTACTTGGGACTCGAAAGATGATGCTAACACTATGTAGAACTCTAATGCTAATTGTATGAGAAGAATCTCAAGGGAAGTACTTGGAGAGTCGAAAGGGACGGGCCTCAACTTTAGGGAAACTTGGTGGTTAAGGGAAGAGGTTCAAGCGGTAGTTAAGGAAAAAAAAGAGTGCTTTAAAAAGTGGCAGAATGATAGAACTGAGGAAAACCTTAAGAGTTATAGATTGGCTAATAAGGAGGTCAAAAAAGTGGTGAGAGAGGCTAAGTTGAAAGCTTATGATAACCTGTACACTAAACTAGATAGCAAAAAGGGAGAGAAGAGGGTATACAAACTTGCTAAGATACGGAAGAGGAAAATAAGAGATTTTAATCAAGTTAAGTGCATCAAGAGTGAGGATTTCAAGGTATTGGTGAAGGATGAAGAGATTAAGGAAAGATGGAAGAATTATTTTGAGAAATTATTAAATGAGTAACATGGAAGTACGGCAATAGGGGAAGAAATAACCAGTAATTTGATAAACCAAGACTATAGGTTCTATCGCAGGATTAGGAACTTTGAAGTGGAGATTGCACTTAAGAAGATGAAATCAAATTAGGCTTTAAGACCCGATGATATCCCTATTGAAGCTCGGAAGTGTTTGGGTAAAAAGGGAGTTGCTTGGTTGACTAAGTTGTTTAGTAAAATTTTGTTGACTATGAGGAACATGCCAGAAGAGTGGAAGAAGAGTATTTTAGTGCCAATGTATAAGAATAAAGGAGATGTCTAGAATTGTAACAACTATAGAGGAATCAAGTTAATGTGTTATATAATGAAAGTGTGGGAGAGGGTGATGAAACGCCGATTGCGAGATATAACAGAGGTGGCAGAGAATCAATTTGGGTTTATGCCTGACAGGTCAACAATGGAAGCGATTTATCTTTTGAGAAGAGTAATAGAAAAATATAGAAAAAAAAAAAGAGACATTCATATGGTGTTTATGGACCTTGAGAAAGCATATAATAGAGTGTTCCGGGATATAATATAGTGGGTGTTAGAGAAGAAAGGGATGACAAAAGGTTACATTGATGTGATTAGGAACATGTATGAAGGGGTGGTGACCACTATTAGATCGCTTGCTGGAGTGACAAATGAATTTCCTATCACTGTAGGGTTACACTAAGGATCTACCTTAAGTCCTTATCTTTTTTCTTTAGTTATGGATCAGTTGACGAGAAATATTCAGAATGACGTGCCATGGTGTATGCTTTTTGCAGACGATATTGTGCTAGTGAATGAGAGTAGAGAAGGAGTTAATACAAAGTTGAAGATTTGGAGAAAAGATTTTGAATCTAAACGATTCCGAATAAGCAGAACTAAGACAGAGTACATGGAGTGTAAATTTAGTAACAGTAACAATGAAAGCAGAGGAGAACTAAAGATTGAGAATCAAGAACTGCCTAAAAGTGAACATTTTCGTTATTTAGGGTCAATTATCACAACAGTAGGGGAGATTGATACGGATGTGACTCATAGGATTAAGGCGGGATGGTGTAAGTAGAGAAGTACATCTGGAGTACTGTGCGATAAACGAATGCCCACTAGACT